CTGAAGGAATAGGTAGATGTTATGAAAAGGAGAACATTTTACAAAAAATCATAAATTGAAAATAAATTAGACATGGAAAATGTCTCAGGCTGGTAAAAACAGTTGCTTACCTTTTCTGGTTACTCTGAGACAGCAAAGCAGAGTTAGAAGCGGAGTCCAATATCAGGTTGGAGAGTCCTGGAGATCCTGCAGGGATTGGAGTCGAGATACCTTGGCTGACCGAAGTGGGTTGATGTATGTTGACGGGGTCCTGGAGTCGAGATGTCCTCTCTGACCGCACTGAATTCCTGCTGACAGGGGTGGTACTGGAACTGGCCTGGAACTGGAAAAGCAAGTGGAGAAACGAGCATATCTGAACATAGCAAATTAACTGAAATTCGTTCTACTGGAGCTGAAACGTTGGCTAGAAGATGTCCCGCGGAGGCCCCGGTGGGGGGCGCGGGGCGGGCGGCTGCTGCAGCTGACGAGTGCAGGCGTGTCTCACGGTTACTCTGGAACAGGAACGAAACTTGATTAGAATCTTAATATCCAATAAGCCAACTAGAAGCCACAACAAATGACAGCTTCCGCTTACTCGCAGCGTAGACGACCGACACGTGAGCGGCCCTCCGCGGCGACGAGGCCGCGGTGACCTGGTGGTGACGCACTGCTTGGAGTCCAGAGCAGAGAAGGCGGCTGAGGCCTCGACGGCCGGGGCAGCTGCGTGGAAGTCAAACAGAAAACACGGCATTAACTCTGGTTCCTACGTGCGGTTGCAATAAGCGATCAGTTTGCCCTCGTGATCCGCGGTCACTATGTAAATAAGAACACCCGCACAGCTATAGCTGCAGCCGACACACTGCCCTGGTCGCTGCGACTCAGCGCCGGCCCCGCGGGGGGGAGGGGGGCCTAGGGGGGACACCCGCGGGGTCCAGCGGGTGCAAGCCCAGGAGCAGCGCGCCAGCCAGCAAGCAGTGGGGCGATATCAAGTAACTGACCGTGGCCACTACAAGCGGGCCAAATGAGGAACAAATAAGTGCTTTCGAAACGCACCTGTGCAGTCTGCTGACCACGGCCATCAGCGATACAGAGTCCAGGCGGGAAGGGCTCATCACGGCAAAATTGAGATGTCGACTGGAACATAAACACAACATAATTAGTTCAAGGAGAGTCCACAATCAATCACAAACAAGCCGAGTGAAGTTACCTCTCAGCTCGAACAGTAGATCGGGTAGTCCCATGGAGTCAAACTGCGGCAAGAGCGGCGGTGGTCCTTCCCCGCGACTGCTTTGCGAGACGCGGAGACAGCTCAGCAGCACAGGGCGGCGGGCTTGGGCAGGCAGACAGCTCGCTCGCAGCGACACACCTGCTTAGCCGCAGGGCTGCGTCCGAGTCGAGAAGGAGCCAAACATCAGCGGGGGCCAGGCTCTAGCGCTAGGACAACATATAGGAAATCAGGCTCAAAACAAAGCATACGGTAACGACGTTCTAATGGGACACACGACTGACCTTGAGGAGTGAAGAATGTTCCCGAAAGTCTTCGTTAAGTTAGGAAATTTAAAATAGGTTATAATAAATCGCGGTTGATAAAACTTT